CGAGGAACGCGGCAGCGTTTATCTTTCGCGATCGAAGAGCATCGAATTAATTTCGGTAGCACCTGTATCGATTATAAACGTGTTCTTTTTTCTTGCTACGCTCGGGGGCAACATTAAAAATAACTGCCTATCGGTTCTCGTGCAACGAACCACCCACGTCTCGGTCTCACGTTACGATCGCGTATCTCTTTTAGTACGGCTGGCCGGTATGCTGAGAGCATTATGCGAAATTTTTCGAAATTCAAACAAACAGCGTCGCTAGTGACGAAAATAGTTACCCTCGGTTACCAAAAGACCGCAGAATGCACGGGTCACATTCACTGCGCGAAAAAATAGTATACTGCCCACCTTGTCTGACGGAACACTGGCCGGCTTCTCATATTAGAATATCATTGATGGCAACGATATCTCATCGTGATTACAGTATAACATGAATCGTCCATGAGAGAATAAAAAAAATTATGAAATTATTGATGAATATTATTAGGATATTTTTTATACTATACTGTTTTTTTTTATACTATACTACTTCGTACTTTATACTATATTGAAGAACATATTTGACTAGTAATTTAATATTTCGCTAATGATAACAGAAAAACAAAACAATTAAATTTTCTTTTCGTCAACATCAATTTATTTACTATCTCCGTATTCTTCCATTCACACATTGTAATATTCATGGTAATGCTAGATTTAAAAAAATCTCGATAAACGACCTTACGCAACGTAACATAGTACAGTCTTAATCTGCCGCTTAAACTTTTAATTACTTAAAGGACTTAAATAATTAAATCACTCAATTTAATATTACTAGATATTATTGAATATATACAGGGTGTCCCAGGTTTTTTCGGTAAAACGGTATCAGCATACTGTACGAGCGAATTTTTACAATACGAGAAGACGTGTATTTTTATTTTATTTTCACCATGAGTATTTTTTTTATTTAACGAAGGATACTTTTTCTTAATTCTGGTTTTTGTAAAATGATATATGGCAATAAGAATTTCCATAATGATCCCCAAAATACTTATGATATAAATGCATATATATCATTTAAGAAATAAATGAAAATTACAGTCGCAATAAAACTTTAATAACTAGCAATAAAAGATTTATTTTTAATCGAATTCAACGTTTGTGTATACCTTGGTTGATCACATAGTTATGTTCAGTGTACAAAAAGGCGAAGTTGCTTAAACATCTGCAGCCTAACCTAGATGACAAATTGTGTTATTAAAACGTAATTAAATTTCTCCTTAAAAAATTCAAGCTGTTCAGATTATAATATAATCGATCCTGTGATTGAATATCTTTTTTTACAATTTCACAGGCGCCTTTTCGTACCAACAGTCGCTAAAAACAACTGAAATAACAACGCAACGACGAGTGGTGTATATTTAAGAAGTGCACTGTAAAATTAAGTAACGACCGAGCAGAAGAAATTAATTGCGAGACGAAGAAAAAATCACAGGAACAGCGGCGGATTTTTCGAAATCCTCGGAGCGAGATACGAAATCTGATAAGGCATTTTCCGACAGGTTCCCGGCGACTGAAAAATTCGATAAACACTTGTTAATAACAGTGGTGGTTGTCTGGCCGCTCGTGGATACGAGACTACCATAATTATCGAGCTACAAAATTGATCGAATTAAAGTATTTCGATCGCGACCTGGCCGGATAACAAGATCGAACCTCGAGGCTGCTCCCATGCCCACGGAGAGACATCGATGGTTATTATGAGCAACACCATGGGGACTCGTAATATAGCTCATGCTTTGCTGTAGGTCCGCAGCTTCTCCCCGCACGCACACCAACCGCCGACACTCTCCTAACGGCTGTAAAAAATGATTCTCGCGACGAAAGACATGTAAATTTATGAAGGCTCCGGGGCCCGGCCATCCTCCCTCCACGCTCGTACACATCCCTGCCTCCGACACGGATGCATTGTTGTGCTAACAATTAATTAACGTCGCTTTAATTANTAATTAAATCACTCAATTTAATATTACTAGATATTATTGAATATATACAGGGTGTCCCAGGTTTTTTCGGTAAAACGGTATCAGCATACTGTACGAGCGAATTTTTACAATACGAGAAGACGTGTATTTTTATTTTATTTTCACCATGAGTATTTTTTTTATTTAACGAAGGATACTTTTTCTTAATTCTGGTTTTTGTAAAATGATATATGGCAATAAGAATTTCCATAATGATCCCCAAAATACTTATGATATAAATGCATATATATCATTTAAGAAATAAATGAAAATTACAGTCGCAATAAAACTTTAATAACTAGCAATAAAAGATTTATTTTTAATCGAATTCAACGTTTGTGTATACCTTGGTTGATCACATAGTTATGTTCAGTGTACAAAAAGGCGAAGTTGCTTAAACATCTGCAGCCTAACCTAGATGACAAATTGTGTTATTAAAACGTAATTAAATTTCTCCTTAAAAAATTCAAGCTGTTCAGATTATAATATAATCGATCCTGTGATTGAATATCTTTTTTTACAATTTCACAGGCGCCTTTTCGTACCAACAGTCGCTAAAAACAACTGAAATAACAACGCAACGACGAGTGGTGTATATTTAAGAAGTGCACTGTAAAATTAAGTAACGACCGAGCAGAAGAAATTAATTGCGAGACGAAGAAAAAATCACAGGAACAGCGGCGGATTTTTCGAAATCCTCGGAGCGAGATACGAAATCTGATAAGGCATTTTCCGACAGGTTCCCGGCGACTGAAAAATTCGATAAACACTTGTTAATAACAGTGGTGGTTGTCTGGCCGCTCGTGGATACGAGACTACCATAATTATCGAGCTACAAAATTGATCGAATTAAAGTATTTCGATCGCGACCTGGCCGGATAACAAGATCGAACCTCGAGGCTGCTCCCATGCCCACGGAGAGACATCGATGGTTATTATGAGCAACACCATGGGGACTCGTAATATAGCTCATGCTTTGCTGTAGGTCCGCAGCTTCTCCCCGCACGCACACCAACCGCCGACACTCTCCTAACGGCTGTAAAAAATGATTCTCGCGACGAAAGACATGTAAATTTATGAAGGCTCCGGGGCCCGGCCATCCTCCCTCCACGCTCGTACACATCCCTGCCTCCGACACGGATGCATTGTTGTGCTAACAATTAATTAACGTCGCTTTAATTATACCCTCGGTGTCGACGGTCCTCGGCCCTATCCTGTTTTTCGTCGTCAGCGTTCCCTTTGTCTTTAAGCATTCTTCGATCTCACGGCGTTATGCTGATTAGGACGCGCGACGCCCTTATCCCTCCATTGTTGCCGGTTCTCGTTTGAGAAATTTTTAAAGGACCGCTTCCTTGGTCGGGGCTGTAAATATTTGCTAGATCAAGAACCTTTTCTTTCTCGGACATTGTTTTCGGCTGCTGCACCGCGTCGCGGCAATGTTATTCTTTCCTTCGACGTGGGCGATGCGCTTTTGTTGCCCTAATGGACGATTGTTTTTTTAATTAGATTCGTCGGTACACACACCACCTATGATTCGAAGGAATTCTCGTCATGATTACGGACTCTGTCAGGGCGTGCTTGGTTTTCGAGATGAATAAGCGTGGAACAGGTTTTCGATAATTCTACATTTAAACTAAACGCTTAAGGAGTGTGCACAGTTTAATCTGCGAGGCGCGAGCATTGTTAAAGTCTTGCTTTTTATTTAACACTAGACTGCCGAAACGATAAACAAGACCTCTTGTTAAACGTATATTTGAATGGAAATCGAATGAAGTAGGAATAAATCTAATCTTGTCATATTTTTAACCTTGATTTTTAAGCTGTACGGTTTATAACTAGACTACGGATTTTAATGCAAAATAGAACTTGTCTACATCAATTGCATGAAACAAGATTTGACCTCCGAAGACTTTCGCAGATTAGATTTTTATATGTAGTACCCTATATGTTCGATTTTCTTCATAGTTGTTTAAAACAACACTTTTATAAAACATATATTTTCATAAAGATTATCGAAGCATATATCCTTTTTAAACGGTTAGCTGTTTTCGACGAGTATACTTGTCACGAAGAAATGACAACATATTGTGTTATGACGAGTATACTCGTCAAAAACAGCTGACTGGTTAAAGATTTACTTCTGATACGATTCGCTAGGTGCTCCGAGAGAAATTTCCGTATTAGTTACAATCGTGCGTCTGTTCGGTACCCGTTACGATACACTACAGCAGTGTAGTACCACACTTGATAAATATAATTTGAAAAAGTAATGTATCGGCGCGCACCGATGGATATAATAGCGTCTGTCGTGGGAGTTCGTGGAAGTAAACTTTTAGTGTCACAGAAATTTTGTGGTGGGATAACTTTAGTCTGTCTATCTCTCCTTCATACACCGCGGTGTAAGCACAACTAATGTTACAACAAGCGATGCACTTTTGGAATTTTTGAAATCAATTTAACGCAAAACTACCACTTCCCATAAAGAGCCCGACATAGCATTGTAACAAGCCCGCACATCGTAACCTGGTAAACGCAGAAATTCATGTATAAATCTTAGCAGGTGGAATCGATCCGCAGATGCATTTCAAGTCTCCCGAGTATGAAATATCAAACCGAGTGTAGAACAAACTCATGCAGAAGTCAACGCGTTAGCACGGAATTTATTCGTCTGTCGGCCGATTATGACACGCGCAGGTCCACAGCAATCAAATCGAAGCGTGCAGATGATGTATCGTAATCGCCTGACAATTAGTGTTCGGTCGAGCCAAGAATTCCGTTGAATAATTTTTAGATCGGCCCCGGCTTTATCGCAGTAGGATCTCGAGGATGATTGGCGACCTGTTTGACGGTACAGAGCGTCATAGTCCAGTTCGTGAATTCACACTTGCACGATATGGGCATTAGTGTTCGCCGGGGCTGCGTTCGTTATGTTCACACTCACACAACGGTTGATCGGCGTTCGTGCTCACTGTCGCTCGTGTGTTTCTGTTCCAGGGCATAAGGGAGCGGAAGGAGCGTAGATGAGTTCTGCTGTCCGCGTCCTCGGTAAGTCGTGAACAGTGAATATAAAGAGCGTATAAAATGTCTCTCGGCTCAGCGCCGGGGGGAACTTATACGTGGATGTTATTGCAACGTATGCGGAATACGAACTTCTATTTAACTAACGAGCCAATGCCGTTATAAATGTTGGAAGGTAACATTAGATTCTTCGCGGAGTAGTACCGAGTGTTTTCATGCTTTCGACATTCTTTGAACACCAGGCATTTTTGGCGTTGGCTCAAATTACGCCACGATTTTTTGGTGTGCGTTCATTTGTTTAATCTGAATAATTGTCGCGCTTTCTGTGTCTGCAATTATTTATTTTATATTCTTGACGTGATATCAAACTTTTTTCGTTTGTGCTAGATGGGCATTTATTTGTTTACAAAGAGATATCAAATCGGTTAATACCGTTTAGAAAAAGAATGAAATATTAATTTCGTAAAATATGTAACAAAAATTAAAAACTGATTTATTGATTTAACTTCGTGCAGATTATTTACAGTCGCAGCATCTTTAATATTATACCTTTTTTTATATGCATTTTATTCATTTTATAAAATAATTACGTAAGAAATATTTGTTGTTCATTCTTATATTATAAGCGANACTCACACAACGGTTGATCGGCGTTCGTGCTCACTGTCGCTCGTGTGTTTCTGTTCCAGGGCATAAGGGAGCGGAAGGAGCGTAGATGAGTTCTGCTGTCCGCGTCCTCGGTAAGTCGTGAACAGTGAATATAAAGAGCGTATAAAATGTCTCTCGGCTCAGCGCCGGGGGGAACTTATACGTGGATGTTATTGCAACGTATGCGGAATACGAACTTCTATTTAACTAACGAGCCAATGCCGTTATAAATGTTGGAAGGTAACATTAGATTCTTCGCGGAGTAGTACCGAGTGTTTTCATGCTTTCGACATTCTTTGAACACCAGGCATTTTTGGCGTTGGCTCAAATTACGCCACGATTTTTTGGTGTGCGTTCATTTGTTTAATCTGAATAATTGTCGCGCTTTCTGTGTCTGCAATTATTTATTTTATATTCTTGACGTGATATCAAACTTTTTTCGTTTGTGCTAGATGGGCATTTATTTGTTTACAAAGAGATATCAAATCGGTTAATACCGTTTAGAAAAAGAATGAAATATTAATTTCGTAAAATATGTAACAAAAATTAAAAACTGATTTATTGATTTAACTTCGTGCAGATTATTTACAGTCGCAGCATCTTTAATATTATACCTTTTTTTATATGCATTTTATTCATTTTATAAAATAATTTCGTAAGAAATATTCGTTGTTCATTCTTATATTATAAGCGATTTACATTTCTTAGTATTATTATTATTAAATAATTAGATCAATTAAGTATATACCTACTTTATTGGTACCTACATATAGTGGTTTTATTTTTCGTTTTTATCAACGTCTATATTATTCATATTCATTATTAAGTACATAAAAAATTAAGCATTTAAGTGAATATAAGCATTCTCTTAACAAAAAATTAACCACAATCCAAAAGATTTTAATCATTGTAACTGTGAGAAACACATTCCATGGCGAGGATGTAATCTCTTAACATATAAATATTAATATAAAAGAAACTTGACGTTATTCGATTCCCTCGTAGTAGAAGTTCTTGTGCACGCATGCAAAACAAAAACTGAAATAGAAAAAATGGAAGATATTAGACAGAATTTAAGAAAAAATCGTTACGCTATTTTCAGCTTATTAAAATGATTGAAAGAAATAACATATTTTCGTTTCATTTCCGTTTCTTACAGTTGGCTTGGAACGTTTTTATTTTGCATAAAGTTTCGCACACCAGTAGCTATTATTGGGCACAATATTAAAATATATATGACAATGTGCAACTAGAAATAAGCGTCCGTAACATTACTGAAATGATAAATTAAATTAATTAATTAATTCTCTAACAATATTATTCAAATACATTAGAATTCGCTACATTTTGTTTTAATCGAATGTAAGAGTTAACATAAACAATTCAAGAGAAAAATCTCAGAAAATATTCAGTATTTGTAAAATTAGACCGAACTTTTTTCACCTGCGATGATATTCGAGGCGCGCATTCGATTGATCGTTATCATTTTCGCAAAAATCATCCGATGAGTTTCAAACGCCAAAAATCGGAGAGCAGATCTGAAAATATCGTGGCAGCGACAGCCGCCGAGAATCCGCTGCCTAATCGTCGCGATTATCGTTCGGTTCGCGAGACGACGGAACATGCGCATCGTTCATGATTTATGCGTGAAACGTAGGAAACGAATCAATACGTCGAGCCCGGTGCAGGCCGCCGTCCGCATCGAAACAAATTCTCGATCGGATCGATTCGTATACGAGCGAGAGACACGGGTTACGGGTACGGGACGACGATAGTCGGTCGGCTTGGCTCCGAACGAAAAATAGAGAAACGGGAAACGAAAGCGACAGAAGTAAAATGGAGGAGCGGCGAGCGAGAATAAGCGGGAAGAAGCGGGAAGACGGGAGAGGAAGCGAGAGACTATGAAGCGAGAAGCGCGAAGAATGAAGGAGACGCGCCCCGTTGCCGGACTACCTCTTCTTCCCCATAAATACGGATTTAGTCGCGCGGTTTACGACCGAAAACGTGTCGAGCTTCGCGAGCTGGGCCGTGCCTAAATTATTAAAGTCGTAAACGATCGAAATCGTCGTTAAGCGCCGCGCGAAGAAACCCATTGGGCCCTGCCTCCGCGTCTCCTCGACAAGGATCATTTTTCTCGGGGTTTCATTGTTGGGCTACGGTCAACCGGGCCCCGATACACACCTCGAGCTTTTGTCGTGCACGACAATAAACGGGCTTACTTGTCGTACGCGGGTTTTCTGCGACGGATCCTTCCACCTCCCGACTGGCTCCACCGTAGATCACACGCTGGAAGGTTATTGGCACCGGTAATCTAGAATGTCACGCGTAATAGTGCTCCTCGATGAGTTGTTAACGCGACCTTACGCCGGTGAAATATCCCGCGTAGAGTTTACCCGGGATTTATTGGCCACCGTCGATCCCGACGCTGTCTTCTTAACGGATTCCGTTTTAGCCGGCAGTTAAACCTAAACGGGCTTGCTTTAACCCCGTCGGCCCTGAATTATCTTCTTCTTTGTCTTTACTGGTATCTTTGTTCTTGATGATTTAAGAACCTCGGGACGCGGTGATCCACGGATTCATCCCTTTGCTGTATCAGTTGTTTTCAATGGATTCTCGAGCTGTAATCAATATCGTACATTTAATACATTTGCTGAATCGCTTCGTACTTTTGACCAGCTTTTTTTAAACAATTTATATAGGATGGACCATCTGTTGGAATCTTTTTAAAATTGTTATAAAATGACCGTTTAATATATTTCAAAGTTTTTTGCTTTATTAAACGCTTGAGTCCCAGGGATCATTGAATAAACACGGTCGAAAAATGCCGAACAGCGCGATACCCTTGTCTTAATATGTGTATTATTAGTGCATAAATATTTCACGTTTTGTTCAATAAAAATTATTGAGAAGATAACAATGAAATACAAAATGTGTTAGTTGTATCATTTACAATAAAAAATGCAGCTATGCGATATACGTGCGCCAGTAAAGTTGAGCGCGCTACTTTGACAGTCTGTGAGTGCACCATTAGTTGTCCATAGCGTTCATATGTTCTAGGATTTTTCGACACAAAATCTAATCAGCGCAATCGCGTTGCGTAGGACTCAAAAGGTTAAAAAGAGTAAACTTATCAATTAATTATAAAAAAATTAATTCAACGGTGCAACGTGCCACATTATTCGTAAAACGATTGATATTCCGCTGCGATTCGATGCGGTTGAACTTATTTTTTATGGGGAACTGTTAATGGCCGTTGTTGCTGCAACAGTCCAAAAATAATTCAATCACTTCAGGGAAATAGCCACCGAGCTATGTGGGAAATGGAGTCGCTAACAATCGAAAATGTATTGAAAAATAGGTGATTGTCAAGCTCGACGTGATAGTCATTTGAATGAAATTATTCTTCATTAATAATCAATAGGTTTAATGTCTTTAATCAAGCAGAAAACTTTGAAAAATATTGAACAGTTTTTTTATAGCAATCTTAAAAAGAAACTAACACATGGCCTACCTGTTAATTTGTTCTAAATTAGAAAGAACAATGAATAGAATGCTGTGGCAACGTGTCTCGTTTCGATTATCTGATTTTAGAATTACGTGATTCTTGTGCTCATCTTTGTCTATGACTTTATTGCCTATGCTTACTATTGAGATGTTCGAAATAACTTTAATTACATGGAAGTGCATCAAGAGAATTAAACAGGTGTTCTTATAAATCTCAGTGAAATACATAAAACTACTTATTTGCTTCAAGATACGCGTTCGAATTGAAATGAGCAGAAAATTGCTATTGCATTGCATGCTATTGCATTCCTATGTTGCAGAAAAACCAATGCAATTTAGGCAATTACTCTGATCAATCGAATTCTATCTAATTTCGGAATTTAAAATACAATAGGGATCAGTGAAGAAGACTCAAAGAAATGACATAAAAATAAAAAAATAATTTCCTCCACTAAACTCCTACTCTATTTAAAACTCTGAACCTGTGATGATTATTATAGAAACAAACGGTTGAAACGTGTCCACTGTCGTAATGCGAAGAAATATTGGTCACCAGTTATGTAAACATCGTAAAGTTATATAACAAGTGCTACCATTAACGTTCAGCATTGTAAGATGAATCAATGTTCCTTATAAGTTCTGTAAAAACAAAGATTTTTCAAATACAGATGTTTCATACGGTTTTGCCAATCAAATTTACTAATTACACGTAATAAAATATTATTAATAATGTACTATTCGAAAGGAGCCGTTAAGTTTGCAAGTTGCGTGGGCGGTAGAAGGAAATGCATTTTGAACAGCGAGTTACAAGCGATGACGAGAAGTAGTCACAGCATGATATAAAAGCACGAGTCAGTCGATTCAATAGTTTACGC